TGTGCTCACCTGTCTGCCCCTCGTTATCCACCCTATATTAGTTTCTGCCTCCTGTAGTCTAGTTTGTCGGTTATTGTGAATGTTACCCCGAGTGTGTGTGTCTCATCTACCCGAATCTGCCTTGTTTTCTCTACATTAAATATCCTTATTTGAATCCTTGTCATCCTGCCTGCCTCCACAGACCGTGACCGTGACAACAGTACACTCTTTAAAAAATTTGTTACTTTTTTTTTTTTTGGAATATTTGTTTAATCTAAAGAACCCTTTTCCACTATAAAGAACCTTTTGTGCAATAGAAAGGTTCCACAGATGGTAAAGGTTCTTTACATCTAAATAATAAATATAAAGAACCTTTATTTTTTAGAGTGTATTTTAAACAAAAAACAATCAACGTTGTCTACGCAAAGAGAGTTGGCGACGTGGTAAACGATATTCCTCCTGTCCAGGGCAGAACGGTATCTCCTTTCCTCGCTCACAAGCAGGTGCAGAACTCCCACTACGTGGACGTGCGCTGTGCTCCGGTCATTTTGCCTTCCCAATCCATAATCAGAAACAGCAGATTCAGTGTATAGCTGGTGCAAAAGCAGCAAGTAACCAGACAAACATGCATGCCAGTTGGGGAAAAGCACCGCTTTTGAAAATACCCTTGTTCACTTGGTGTCATGTGTAAACTTCTATTTCCATTCACCCACTGCTTCAATTAACAATTTGATACTGTTAGAAGACAACAAGAGGAGAGAAATTATGCAGGAAGTGTTTACCTCTTTATGAAAATGATGGCCACAGTGAAGTTCTTGGATGCCACCCCTTCCATTCCATAGTTCTTCATGGCAAATAAGACATATGCTATCTGCATCACCCTACAAACAAACCAGACAAAATCATCCAAAAGTGTTATATTAGGGCATTGATGCACTTTATGCATATTAAAGTATACGGTATACAAGTTTTTAAAAGAAGTTTCCTCTGCTCACCAAGGCTGCAGTTGTTTTGTTTAAAAACACAAAAAGTAATATTGTGAAATATTATTACAATTTTAAAAAATGTTTTCTGTTTTCATTTTAAAATAAAATGTATAACTATTATGGCACAGCTGATTTTTCAGCAGCCATTACTCCAGTCTTCAGTGTCACATGATCCTTCAGAAATCATTTGAATATGCTGATTTGGTGCTCAAGAAACATTTTTTAAAATTATTATTATTATTATTATTATTATTATTTCTTACGGTGAAAACAGTTTTGCTGCTTAGTATTGTTTGGGAAATGGTGCTAAAAGTTCTCATGCACGATTCTTTAATGAAATTTCAAAAGAAAGGCATTTATTTGAAATGTTTTGTAATATCTGTCACTTTTTATCAGTTAAATGCAATTTAAAAAATCTATTTCAAAACTAAATTGATTAATTGATTGATTGAACAGTAGAGTATACAGTACTTAGTACAATAAAGTAGGCCTACTAATTAATTTGTCCCATATATCGCCACCTGTAGTTAAAACATGCAATTGCACGTCACTTGCACCTGCAAAAGAGTTAAAGGCAGGGTATGTGATTTTTCAAAAACACTTTAGAAAACCGATTCGGGCCGAATAGCAAAACAAACTTGTAACCAATCAGCAATAAGGGGCGTGTCTACTCGTGATGTGGAGGAGAGAGCTTTCAGTGCATGGGACGGATATTAGCCGAGCCGAGCGACAGAAAGATAGAGATGGTGGATAAAAAACAAAAGAGGAAAACGTCTGCTGAACGATAAGGCAAGAAGTAGGACCCGTGTAAATATCGGATCAGCTTTCCAGCGCTGGAGAGAACTCAAGGAGCGGAGGCCTGCGATCGGACGCCGAGGTTGTTTTGTTTCTTCTCAATAGGTGAGTAACACCGTGTCTACAACAGCTAAAGTCTGCCTACACTGGACGCGATCAAACGACCGTTGAAAACCATTTGAAATGTGTGTCAGCATGTCATAAATAGAACCCGGCAGCAGTTTTCTGTCGGGGATTTGCTGCGCCTCGCCGCTCACGTCCATAGACACGGTGTAACATTATTTTGGTTTGTTTCACAGAACTAATCGTTGCCTGGGTTGCGTACGTATATGTGGGGCGGAGCTATCAAAATAGGGGCAAGACCCTTTTGGGGTAGGGGCGTGTTTGTTTTGGTGATTTCAAATATCAACATTGGCTACCAGAAATCGCTTACTCTGCCTTTAACTTCAATGCTTCGGCACTGCTCTACTACACGGTTTGAGGAATTCCAATGGTTACAAATGATCACCTTCAGAGGATTTGTCATGTTGCATCAAGACCCACTGACGGTAAGGAGTACCAACAAAACTTATAGCCTATATCAGAAAAAAGCCATCTGAGCATTTAAGTGTGATCTGCCGTTATGGTTCGGATCTTGTTTTGACACATGCTCAGTCCCCTTCCCTTTTTGATTGCAGACTCTCAGTTCCAGATTTATTTGTTTTGAAAAGCTGATTTCTTAAGAGGTCCCACGAGGATTGCCGTTTCATTGCTGTTCATGTTAAATAGCCTACTGTAAATAGCCAGACCTTTTTTGTTTATGGACATTAAGTAAACACTAAAGCAAAATATAGCTCATAATAACTGAAACTGAAAATGTTGTAGACATACAGTAGTGCATTGGGATGTGTTGAATGAATAAATAAATAAATGCTTTTCCATTTAAGGGGATATTAATGAGATGAACTAAGGGGGTATTTACACAACACCGTTTTCAACAAAAAATAGAATCATTTAATGCATTTTAACCATTCATTTGCATGGCACTGGCGTTTTGGGGGCCTGAAAATGCTAATTTTGAAAACAAGTTTTTGAAAACAATAACGTTATCATCTCCGTGTAAATTAGCCACAAAATCACACATTTGTGAAAATGGTGTGAGCATGAACATTACATGTCCAGTTTGTGCACTGGTGCATAGTGTGTGGCCTGGTGTAATGGAGGCCAGCTAGTAAGAGCTGTTCAGGTAAACCTCACTCCCCTGATCTCAAAAGGCACCTACTGACACTAGGGGCCCTGGTCTTTAGCGTCCTTGTCAGCGTGCCTGCCTCCCATGTCGGAAACGCCTATTTGAATCCTGCTCAATCCGGGTTAAGTAGAACCAGAGGGGTTACATTGGTGCCGTGACCCGGATGGGAGGTTAAGGGGGGTGAATGTAATGGAGGCCAGCTAGTTACAGCTGTGGAGGTAAACTTAACTCCCCTGATCTCAAAAAGCTTACTAGCGACTTATGCTGGTTTGATATTTGAATTGAATGCAATGATATTGAGACATTTTAAAGTATTTTTTAAGACTTTTTTGGTCTGCTGTATGTGACATGACATCATCTGGTCCCTCACCTTCTGGTTATTGAAACGCAGCCTCTTCTCTAAGCACTCAGTGAGCTCTGGAATGGTGCTGATGTGACATTCAGGTCCCACCACTTTGGTTCGGCTGTTTTCGTCTGAAGACATACGGCGGGCACGAGGATGAGAGTGCACCTCCTTCTCCTCACGGCCCTTCAGGTGGACAGGGCCAGGGGCCATGGTGTTAGCATGGAAATGATTCGCCTGCATGGCTTCTAGCTGAGACTTTTCGATACAGAACCCAAGACAGAAAGAGAGGGAGAAAGACCATGACACAGAAAGAAGTAATAAGCTACATATAAGTTATATTCATTTACATTTACATTTAGACATTTAGCAGACACTTTTATCCAAAGCGACTTGCAAATGAGGACAATGGAAGCAATCAAAATCAACAAAAGAGCAATGATATGCAATTGTTATAACAAGTCTCAGTTAGCTTAATGCAGTACACGTAGGAAGTTTTTTTTTTTAAATCATGTAATAAAACAAAAACAGATAGATAGAATGAAAAAAGATTAGAGAAGCAAGTGTTCGATAGAACTGGCTGGAAGACCTGCCAAGAGAGCATTGCAATAGTATTGTATGACTTGTATAATCATTTTGCACTTAATTGCAGTAAATATTCATAATAGTCTGTAGGCTCTGCCATTGAAAGGGTCAAAATAGGTTAAAGGGGTCATATGATGCGATTTCATTTTTTCCTTTCTCTTTAGAGTGTTACAAGCTCTTGGTGCATAAAGAAGATCTGTAAAGTTGCAAAGACTAAAGTCTCAAATCCAAAGAGATATTCTTTATAAAAGTTAAGAGTTAGCCACACCTACCTAAAACGGCTCGTTCGAACACGCCCCCACATACAGTGGGGCAAAAAAGTATTTAGTCAGCCACCAATTGTGCAAGTTCTCCCACTTAAAAAGATGAGAGAGGCCTGTAATTTTCATCATAGGTATACCTCAACTATGAGAGACAAAATGAGAAAAAAAAATCCAGAAAATCACATTGTAGGATTTTTAAAGAATT